ACAACCAAGCTTAACTTCAAATCTTTAAAAATTTACATTGCTTTTTTCAATGCTTTAACCCAAACTTTTGCTACCAAAAGATCAGGGCCGCCTTCAAACTGAGGTAGGTTAACCTTCCAAAATTGCTTATAAGTTGTCTCACATTTTTACAGATTTTCTTGTGTTTGCTATTATTGTTGTATCAAATTAGACATCACCTGACATACTTCAGTTAAATCATCTTGTGTCACAAGAGTATTAGAAGCATTTTCAATATTAACTTGCTCATCGCAAACATTGGTGGTTTCAAATTCATCATTTTTCTTGTCAGTTCTTTTTTTTCAACAAACAAGGCCTGTTAATATTTTATTTCTATCATTCATTCTCACCTAAATTAGTACCAATGAAAATAGTTCATAAGTAATCAAAATGAAGTAAACGAATCTTATTAGCGTAAATGCTAATAATACTTAAGTTTTACACTAACTATAACTCAGTTTTTTCTTTTCTCAGATCTTAAACTTGGCTCTGATACTACTTTATGTCATACCCTGAGATCAAGACATAATACAATCATACTACTTTGAAGTAAAATCTCAAAGCAATACGAAACCTAATCCATAATCATTGAAAAATCCTTAAATAAAATAATGTTCTCAAAAAGTTTTAATATCTATAAAATAACTAAACAACAAGTCTCAAAATCGTCAATGTCAAGTATTACAACTAAAAAAAAATAATACTTCATAAAATCCTATTCTTTAAGTAGTTCTTCAACACTCAGATTCTTCTAGCTCCTTGTAAGACTAATCATACTTATCATTCATATCATCTGTAAAAGAAAAAAAATAGGAAATGAGTAAATCACAGCTTAACAAGTATAGGCTCATACACCTATTGGAATCAAATATTATTTTCATACATACTATATAGATCATTTCAAAAATATTCATTAACTCATAATGTCAAAAATAATTCAAAAATTAGCATTCTGTCAAGCATTTCGTAGATCATAAATCAATATAAAAAAATCTCACTAAATCATGGATCAATTTATAAAAATCATCATAAATCATCATTATCATTTGTTTATCGTTAGCTATGGTCACTGCTATAACCTATGATGTTGGTCGTATCGATAATTTTATCCTTATGATCATTACTAACTATTATAATATGCTAGTCAAGGCCTTACATTAACTACTATAACTCATTAGTAGGGTCATATGATCATGTCTACACTAACTAATATTACCCGTTAGTTAAGATTATAGAACTAGTTCTAGTGTCGATGATCCTATTTCTCAAGGATGTAAAAACGTAGCTATCATAAAATAATTTTTTAAACATAAATCATTTTTTCATTTCATTCATAAGTATGATCCATCATTTATATCAAGAAATGCAAAATAATCATATGCTTGATCCTATTTTCATACATTGAAAATAATGAAATAAAATACTCATTCATTTAGAAACATACATCTATACATAGATTCGCAAATAAGTAAAATGTGTGAGATTTTACTTACCTCCTTTTGATTTCACCACTTGATTTTTTTCTCTCAAATAATTAACAGCTTATTCAAGATATTTTCAACATAATAGTAATTAATCAACCCATTTTTAAGACCAATTATACCAAAAACAATTAAGTTATACAAAAGCTAACTCAACTAATTAATATTGACAGCCAAAGCTCCTTTCACTAAAATAGCCCTATCTTATAATATCCAACTTGGAATTAAGATCTTTTTAATGCGTTAGAAACTAGACTCATAAGCTTTCTAATATATGGTCCATCTTATAATTCTTGTAGATTAATTATAATAATTTTTGAAATCCACATCATATGTTGCTACCGGATAGCTTATATACCTTTTTATAAAAATTATGTATTTATTCATAGGAAACTCCAAATTCAATTTCATTTCTTTTATTAAAAAGTAGACTAATTTCCAAAAATATAAGGCTTAATTTGCAATTCATTGTATAAAATTAAAAGGAATCTCATAATTCCTCCCTATTATTGCTACTAGGCAGCCTACATATCCTTAAATAAATATTAAACTACTCTTCATAGAAAACTCAAAATTGACTCCCATTTATTTCCTTGGAAAGCAAATTCAGCAAGCTTTCCAACGATATATAGTAACCATTGTAATATTTTATCTCTTAATACAAAATATTATTTAATCCATCATTGCAAACATCAGGGTTCATATGAAACAGAAAATTTTCTTTCTAACCCCATCAAATTTTATTTCTTATTTTTACAGCACTAAAATCACATTACCAAACTTTCTTAATTAGACCCTAATTAAAGTCAAATGATTTGCCCAAACTAATATTGAAGAGAGATAATGAATTTTCTAAAATTTTAGGGTTTCTCAATTACAAATTACACATCAAAATTTAACAATCAACATCATTTCTTCAAAATTAAAGAAAATTACTTACTCACCTTTGACAGACAATTCTTCTTTTAGATTTTGTTGTTACCCTTCACTTGAAATCTTTCGATTTATCTCTTTTGTATAAGAAAGAGATAAAAACTAAGCTTTTATTTTTCTTTTGATTAGTTGTCGATCGAAAACAATAGAATAAGTTAACCCTATTAAAAAAATTAGGTTATTTATCAATAGGTCCTATGCATTTCTCATTATTCATTAAAGGGTCCTTCACTTATACCCTTTTTTTTTTAGTATTACAAATATCCCATGTGTGATTAGTATAACCCTCTCAAAATTGAGTGTAAATGTTTTGGTAATAAAAGGATTGTTGATCATATAAACACCTATCATGATAGTAATCTCCATGCACTTCATTGTTTTCAAATTGGCTTTGGACTTGATGAACTAGCTTATAATCATTATTGGCTTTAATGGCCTCTATCTTATTGATTGGAAAATTTACTTTGGTGTATAAGACATTAAAGGCTGCCTTTCTTTTAGTTCTTTTTCTTTAAGTAGTTATTGCTCTAAGAAATCATCATAAGAAATCTCTTTTGGTTCTATATTCCTATCCTGAAATAATGCATTGAGTTTTTGTAGGCATTTTGACGCTGCTATTGAAACAGCCTTTCTTGCTATATTTTTAGTTACTTCGCTCATTTCATAAAGTATTCTGCCTGGTTTAACGATAGCTACCCAATGCTCAGGAGATCCTTTCCCCGAACCCATATGTGTTTTTGTAGGTCTTACTGTAATTGGTTTGTCTGAAAATATACGTAATCATATTTTTCCACCATGGCATACATTTCGCGTCATTGCACGGTGCCCCACTTCTATTTGTCTAACGGGTTTAAGTGCTTGAAGAGTAGAAGGTCTAGCATAGTTTTTGTGGTGCTCGACTGCCTCATGTAGATTGAATTCTCACATTGAAAAGTGAAATAAAACTTAAACAAAAACTCGATAACTAGTTATACTAAAATTATCTACATTCAATCATCTACACTAAAACTATATATACTAAAGAGTGAAGTAAACTTAAGCTAAGCATATTAAAAGTTTTATTAGGAAGAGAGGCTAATGATCATGCACATTAATTAGCAAAGATTGGTTGTCGGGTAAGGGAACAAAGATTTTGTGGGAATGCTCTCCTAATAGGGGTATTCATTCGGTCAATTCAGTTAATTTTAAATCTAATTAATCGAATTATATTATTTTATTTTTATCAATCAAATTGAATTTATTAATTTTAAAAATTAATCGACCGAATTTAATTCAATCAATTTGCTTAATTTTTTCAATTAATCAAATAATAAATATATTTAAGTTAAATTATATTTTAAACTATTATTTTCTCATATTTTAAACAAATTAAATAAAATTATCTAATAAAATACTTAAATATCAAAGTATTATGTTAAAAGCTCTAATAACTTGTGAAATAAAATAAGTAAATTTATATATTTTATATTTTATATTTTAATTTTTTTATATTTCAATTAAATTTTTAATTGGTTTAATTTTTAAATTAAATTAATCAAAAATAAAAAATTTTAAAATTAATTTTATTAACTGAAATTAATTCAATAATTAATCAATTAATTAAATTAAATCCATTAAATCAATTAATTTGATTAAAAATGAATACCTCATCTCTCAAGTTCTATTTGCAATTCTGATTATATTTTTATTATATATGCAATGATGTTGGGTTAAAATATATATATTTAAGACATAACTGCCAAATATCACATTGATAAATGTGTTGAAATGTTGTAACGTGCTTTATGATGGATATTCGCCGTTGCTTTCCAGCGTTGCAGATTTCTTGATTGATCGGATGATAGAACGTCCGAACAATTATGCCATACATTCTCGAGCCGACGCAAACGCCTCAATTATTATGGCAATTAATTCCTGTGGTGATGCAGCATTCTTGTCCTATTCTAAGCTTGCTACTGTTAAAGAGTATAAGGACGAAGAAATTTATTTAGTTTATAAAATTATTTTTTAAAATATAATATTCAATCATTTTAAATTTAAATCTTAATATTTATAATTTTTTTTTAATTTTTAGACTGTAATTCTTTATATAAAAATTTTTATCAAGCTAAAAACTCTTAAAATATCCGAATTTTGGAGATTAATATAATCATTCTGCCATTAGGCTTGACGAATTGGTCCTATATTTATATTTAAGACTGAAGTGTAAAATTGAAAATGAACACTTCCACACCAAAATTTTGGATTCGGTAATGAATAAAAAAAAAATGTAACAGATCAGAATCATGCAGAACATCTTGGGTCCTTGGGAATCTTGGGATTGGGGCAAGATTTGGCTTCTTGTAAAGGAAAATGCAGTTTCTCTTTTCTTTATTTTAATAGTGAGAGATATGAACTTGGTTGGTATAGTGAGAATCTATTTATCACCTAGTTAATCCTTTTATGATAAATAAAAAATATACGTGGAAGCTGTAGCATAAAAGTTTCTCGACAGATGTGGGGAAGAAAGCCGAATTATATAATGAGTTGGTAGCCTGGCTGGCAAATCATCAATTATGCTGTCGCTTAATGAATTATAGGATTATGACAAGTGATGGATATGGTTTTACCCAAACTTTGGCAAAAGGCCAAGGAGCAATGCATCAGGCATTTGGACGGTGACACTGACACCATGCAATTGAGCATATGGTACCCTTCACAATCCTTGTCAGATTTTGCAGGGCTTTTTTTACTCGAAGATAAGATATCTGAAGACTGGACCTAGGAAATATTGAATGCATTATTGATTTTTCTTGCCTTTTTTTGCCTATAAAAGAGAGGTATGATCTCAATGTGGTAATCACTGCAATCTCCATTTCGCTATCAATTATTATCTCTTAGTTGAAGCTTTGGAATTCTCTTAATTTCCCCAAAAAACATGGAGGCTCAATCTGCTGTTACAGGCAACGAAAAAATGTTGGCAAACTATGTGCCAATCTATGTAATGCTTCCGGTAAGTCTCAGAAATCTTCTGTCTTAGTGTAAGCAATATATAATAATATATATATATATATATATATATGCTGGCAATTTAGAACATGATATACTAGCACAACACAGTAACATAATACAAAATAGTATGGAAAAAAAAAAACCATGAGAGTGACACAAGTTAAATTTTAGTAAGATTTATATATGAATTATTACATGTAATTTTCATATAAAATATTATATAAATATAAAAATTGTCAATATTTTACATGACATGAAAACATGAATTGTAAGATATAATATATATATATATATTTTCTATCTAACTGCCTTGTTTTTTTTTGCAATGTATGATCAGTTGGGAATTGTTTCAAATGACAATGTTCTTTTAGACAAGGAAGGGCTGAAAGAGCAGCTCTTGAAGCTTAAAACGGCAGGAGTTGATGGAGTGATGTCAGATGTTTGGTGGGGAATTGTAGAATCCAAGGGTCCCAAGCAGTATGATTGGAGTGCTTACAGGAGCTTGGCTGAACTGATTCAAGAATGTGGATTGAAACTACAAGCCATAATGTCATTCCATCAATGTGGCGGCAATGTGGGAGATGAAGTCTATATCCCAATCCCACAGTGGGTTCTTGACATTGGAGAATCTAACCCTGATATCTTCTATACCAATAGAGCTGGTAACCGAAACAAGGAGTACCTCACCCTTGGAGTTGATCTCCAGCCCATTTTCAATGGCAGAACTGCTATCCGGGTTAGTTTCATGTGTTATATATATATTGCATGCTTATGCTGGTATCCTATTTCTTTTATAAGGTTCATGTTTGAGTTTTTATTTATTCTTAGAAAACTATAGTAGTAATCTCCAAACTGTTTGCCAAAGCTCTAATTCTACAAAGTTGTCCTCAATGCAATTATTTGAAAAGTGTTTTAAATGATAATGAGATGATTGAGTTCGTAAGGCTCGAATACTTCTATAATAAAGCTTAAGTTCGAATCTTGCTACCAACATTCTATCCCTTAGTGGGTGATCTGTAAACCCAAGTTTAAGTCCTTTTTGGTAAAGTTTCTTCTTACCTTAAAACTTTTTCACACAAAAAAAAAAGTGCTTTAAACTATCAAAAATCAGTTATAAATTCAATCAGGTTAACTTACTTGGTGAAATCTCACATATTTGGACCCTAGTAATTTATATCTGATTCTATCTTAGGAAGCAAAATCTAATTTTCAACCTAATCTAACAAAAACAAATCACCATATTACTATCTAGTTCTGATTTCTGTTTAAGTGGTCAGTCACTAACTGGATGTTTTTGAGATGAAGCAAAAGAATTTCATACCATTGAATTTTAAGTTTCATTCATTCAATCATTATAATTTCCTTCACTTCCTACTGAGAAAGATTGTCCATTTCACTTCAGATTTATAGCGACTACATGAAGAGCTTCAGGGAGGCAATGTCAGATCTTATTGAAGCAGGAGTCATTATTGATATTGAAGTAGGACTTGGTGCTGCAGGGGAGCTTAGATACCCTTCTTATCCACAAAGCCAGGGATGGGTTTTCCCTGGCATTGGAGAATTTCAGGTGACTGTGCTCCTAGACATTTCAAAGAAATTCTATGATCCCTTCAAACATATCATGGCTAGAAGCTTTGGTTTTTTTTTTTTTTTGTTGTGGTATTTGAGGTTGTCAGGATTTGAACCCTAATCTAGCACCATACCAATAAACCACATGGTTGTTGGGTAGAGGCTTTGGTTTCAGTTCAATAACACATTTCATAAAAATTGCTGCAGTGCTATGACAAATACCTCAAAGCAGCTTTCCAAGAGGCGGCTAAAAGAGCAGGTCATCCTGAATGGTCATTGCCAGACAATGCAGGGGAATACAATGACACACCTGAATCAACTGAGTTTTTTGGACCAAATGGGACATACCTCACTGAGAAAGGGAAGTTTTTCCTCACATGGTATTCCAACATGTTACTCAACCATGGAGATGATATCCTTGATGAGGCTAACAAAGCTTTCTTAGGCTGCAAGATCAAGTTAGCTGCAAAAGTATATCTCACAAACTAAAATTTTCTCAGCTCTACTTAATTTAGTATTAGACCTAATAATTTAAAATTTAATATGATAATACGATATAAAAAAAATTTATGATGATATAGGTTAAAATTTTTGCAAAAATTATACATAGATTTAATAAAAACAAAAAAAAATTCTTGTTTTATTTATACGAATTATAATATTTAATTTTTATATAAAAAATGATACGAATATATTAATTATTAATATTTTATACAATATTAATATACGAATTTATAGATCTATAATTAAGAATAATAGTTATCAGTCAAATATTCATTGTTTGAATGTCATGAAGGTATCTGGCATTCACTGGTGGTACAAATCTGAGAGCCATGCTGCAGAGCTGACTGCTGGATATTACAATCTGAATAATAGAGATGGGTATCGTCCCATTGCGCGGATGCTCTCAAGGCATGATCGTGCTATTCTGAATTTCACATGTCTCGAGATGAGGGACTCTGAGCAAGATGCAGCTGCCAAAAGTGGGCCTGAGGAACTTGTTCAACAGGTAAATTAATTGTGAGTAATTAACAACCAAATAATTTAAGAACAAAACTATCAAAAAAAAAAATTCTGATCATATCTGCATTAATCGCTACACCAACCAAAAGTTCACTGTTGATGCAACAAAAGAATGGAAAATCAATCACAAGTGGTATGTTCCTGAAACTAAGATGTTTTTTTGCCCAAAAGTGCGAGGACTCCCTAAATAGACCCTGGAACCATTCCATTATGCTAGTCCAATTCCACTCAAATCAAAAGAATTTCATGCAAATTTCAAAGATACTTTATATCAAAATAAGTTATATGATTAATTGGTTATTGCAATTATCCTTAATATTTAATAAATCTAAAATTCAAATCATAATATTTATAATCTCTTTCTCTATTTTTACCTATTTTTTTGAAAGAAAAGGTTTACATGATCTATTAATTTGCATATATGTGGTTGACAGGTTTTAAGTGGAGGATGGAGAGAGCTGATCGATGTTGCAGGTGAGAATGCGTTATCAAGGTACGATAGCACTGCTTACAATCAAATCCTATTAAATGCAAGGCCCAATGGTGTGACTGAAGAGGGAAAACCAAAGATGCGTGGGGTGACATACCTTCGTTCATCTGATGTTTTGTTTGAAGACGATAATTTCGAGCTATTCAAGAAATTTGTGAAGAAAATGCATGTTGATCAAGTAAGTAAATATTAGAGAAGGAGTCCATAAAGACTTGAAAGTATCGGAATTAAAAAACATTTCGCATCTGATAAATGGTTTATGTATGCTGTGGATGATAAGGTTCTAGTGATAATGGTTTTGCTTTGACATGATATTTTGAATTTTTAAAAATTAATTTAAATTTAAATCGAATATTTTTTTAAACCGGTTTGATTATAATCAAATTCTATTTATTTGATTTATCAGATTTTAAATTTTATTTTTAAATTTTGTTATTATTTTAATATTATTTTTAATGTATTTAAATAACTTTAGATATAAAATAATTATTTTATTTTATAAAATTAAATATATATAAAATTAATAAAAATATATAATTCGATTCCATTAAAATATTTCAATTTTTTTTTTACTTTTTGATTTAAAAGTCAAATTGAATTAAAATATAAAATTTTCAAACATATCAAACCGAATAAAAAAATCCAAATATTACAATTTTAAATTGATTTTTTTTTATTTTCTCAATTTTTTTAAAGCCTTAAAGGCATACATCCCTGATTAAAGAGTTGCATTAGAAATCTCCGACCCTTTTCGGCAAATGAAAAAGAACCTTTCATATTCAAATTCTCTTGTCTTCACTCTACACATCATATTTTTCCATTACAGGAGTATTGTTCCGACCCCAAAAAGTATGGTCAAGAATTACGCCCATTGCAACGTTCGAAGCCAAAAATTCCAGTTGATGAACTTCTTGATGCAACCAAGCCACTGGAGCCCTTCCCTTGGGATGAAGAAACAGACATGAAAGTTGATGGCTGATAGAAGATCATCAAGCTTGTTCTCCAGACTTTGTTCAAGTGCTGAGATTAACAATAAATTTCAGAATAAAGCTCAGACTTTCAAATGGATTGGAATAATAAATTTAAGATAAAGCTTTGCATTAAATAAAAATAATAATCAGCTTATTATCTATATATAGAGGCTGTAATCCTGAAAATCTATGCCCTGTAACTGTACCTATGCTATTTATGAGAGTTATAAGGCAATGGCCGATTCATCTATCTGTTGCTATTTCTTGTGTCAATTCACATAGCTTCTTTTTCAGTTTCATTCAAAAAAAAAAAAAAAACAGAAAGAAAAATCAGGCATACCTAAAAAAGGCAGAGTAATAATCATGGAGTCAATTTAATAATTATCGAGCTTACTGTTAAAGTGAGTTAGCACATATCTAATAAAATTTTAACATTTTGTAATATTATATTTAAGTTAAACATTTCACTTATTATGAATTGATTATGAGTTAGATACTTAATGATTATTTTCTCATAAAAATTGTAATAAAGAAAAGTATTTTATTTTTTACGTAGACAATTTGCGTCGATGTTTACTTCTCTTTTGAATTTAATAATTTATCCATAATTTTTATAAATAGAGAGTTTTGTACCACAAGGTCACATTTAGGCTTAGTTTAGCATTGATGTTAAGATAGTTTTTGCCTTTAAAAATTAGTTTTAATTAAATCTCAATGCTAAATAATAAAAAAAAATGGTTTTTCAATTTAAAATTCTGTTCCTATAACAAAATCAAAAAGTTTTTCAAAAAGTGCTTTTGCAATAAAAAATTCTTTTGAGATAAAAATCATTGTATTACACTATATTTCTAATATTTATTATTTTATGCTTATTTTTTTTTTAGATATTTCAATTATTTATCATATTTTTTCATAGTAATATTAAACATTTAAAATTTTTAACTACACATTTTTCATCACATTTTAAATATTTTCTTAATTTAAATTTTTTTAACCATAAAAATAATACTAAACTAACCTTTACTAATAAAATCAATTTTTTTTTACTAAAATTTTGAAAAAAAAATTTAGGGTACTCAAGAGGGATTGGATGCTTTTGGGCAAAAAAATAAAAAATAAAAAGTTTGGGTGCCTATATTTAAATAATACTTGGGAATGGGAGTTTTATTATCTTTGAATAAACTGTATCAACATTTAGGTCATATTTACGGGGGGATGAATCGGATTGAATTGTATTAGATTTAGTCGTTTTAATTAATATATAATATTTTTTTGAATTTTTAAAATTTAAATTTAAATTTGACTCAAAAGTTTTTTAAAAATTAAATCGAATTGAATTGGTTAGATTTATCAATCATTGTAAATTAATTTTTTTTAAATTTTGCTATTATGTGTATTATTTTTAATATATTTTAAAAAATTAAATATAAAATAATTATTTTTTATTTTGTAAAAATTAAAATTTATATAAAACTAACAAAACTATAATTCAATTCAATTTAGATATATTTATTTTTTTTTTCATTTTATAGTCCGAAAATAGGTTCAAACCGAATTAAATGTTTAATATCCGAATCAAAATCCAACCAAAGAGAAATGAATCTCAACTGAAAATTTTCAAAATTTTTTCCTTTAGATTTAATATTATGATTATACCAATGCGTATAAAATATAAAATAAAAAATTTATGTTATTGTCATATCAAATTAAATGTTAAAATTAATTTTTAAATATATATTTTTAAAGAGTATTTAGTAAGTGATGATTAATCTACAAATCATATTGATTTGTACTTAATAATTATATCACATTATTTGATACTAATTTAGAAATTTTATATGATAATGATTTTAAATCACCGTAATAAAAGGATTACTATATTTGGAAGTGATTTGATTCTTATATTAAAAGATGAAATGGTTTTATTATGATGAAAAAGTAATTTTCAAAATTATTATTTTTAACTAATTTACATTGATAATATGGGGAATAAAATACAATTCTATCCAAATTGTCTTTATAAATAAACATTCACTGTAGAAAAATCAATTATTTTTTCCAACCTCTACTTGATATGATTTATGTCTTTGGTATATATGTTAAAGATTACCAAAATACTATGAGTTCTTCTATAATATTGAAATTATAACATGGAGTCATCCTTTTGGTATGCATTGTTTTGATTTGGTCAAATTATTTAGATATTATTTATTTCTAAATAAAGGAAGGAAACAAGGGATTGAGCATCCTTCCCTTCCCCTCAAATACTCCATTTTTCATTTACCCTAAATTGGGAGAAAAGCTAGGAAAAAAAAAGAGATAAATTTATTTAAAGTATAAAATAAAAAATTTTTCATTATTGTTTTCTTAAATTTTCAAAGAATATATTGTAAACTTGAGAAGTGATATTAACATTTACTTTTTATCACACCTAAACCCATCTCCCTATTTACTTTACTTTCTTATATATTTTAATATTTTTTTAATTTATGTTGGCCTTATATTTTTATGATATTTTTTTATTATTTCACAAATTTGAGGAAAAAGAAAAAACCATGTACATAAAAACACTTATAATTGGAAAATTTATGTTTCTATTAATGGAGCTTGTTAAATTTACAAGAAAATACTAATACAAGTTTATAATTAATTTTATTTACAAAGATATATTTAGATTCTTGAATTTTGTCATTAGAATTAATTTTTAAAATATAAATATATGAAAATAATTTCAACATACATTCTTTTATGTATTAATAAAAATCCATCTCTTTTATTGATTTTCTCTTTTTTTTTTTTTACTTACACAGTTAATTTTTAAATTGTTCACTTGATAAATAAAATATTTTATTTAAAAAGGATATAATTGAAAGAAAATATTATAATAAATTATTTTTATTATTTTTTAATCAAATAATGATTGTTAAAATTTTTTTCTTTTATTTTCTTTATTAATTTTAGCTATTGAAACAAGAGGTGTATATATCATTTTCTATTCTCTAAAAAACGTTACTTTACTTCCCTTTTCTTTACTCATGTCTATCCAAATACAACATAAACCCTTTTGAAATCTATACACCAAAAGCCAAAAAAAAAAAAAAAAAACAACAACAACGACGACGACAACTCTCTTCAAAGTTACCACTTTATTAATCTACTCTCGCCAAATGAACTAACTCCCCAACCTATCACAAGCCCACCCTGCAAAAAGTACTATGAATTCACTTAACTATTCTTCGAAATCAACTGTTAAGTTTCCCCTTGATGTGCATTGAAGAACACATACCATTATTAAGCACTAAAAGGAAAGAAATATGCCAGCGTAAGATCCAGCAAAACAACAACACAACATCCAAATATTTTGAGAAAGAAGGAAAGAAAGAAGCAATCCGAGGCAAGAGATTTTTCATTTCGGTTTTAGGATTAGAAAGGAATTGGGGATTTGATTTTGGAAGTTTGGATTTTTTTTGACAGATTTGTTTTCGCTTAAAATAAAAAGTTTTGGATAAAATACATAAACAATCACCTAATTTTAAGAGTTTTTTTTTAAATGATCATTAAAATATTATTTTTTTATTTACTCATTTACGTTTGAATAAGTATTTTTTTATTACTTAATCGTTAGTGTTTAACAAGCATGCTAATATGGCAATGATTACGTCAGTGTCAGGTGACACATGGCATGCCAGATCATTTGATGTGGAATAGCTAATCTTGCATTTTTAAATTTTGAAATTTTTTTTTTATTTACTTAACTTTTTATGAATTTTTATTTTGGTTACTTAACTTTAAAAATTTATAATTTTATTACTAACAAATAAATCTTTTAATTTATAAAAAAAATAAAATAAGTATTTGATATTTTTTATTGCATGAAATTAAATTATAAAATTTTTATTTTATTGTAATCGTACCATTTAAATTTGAAAAATCGATGAATATTATCCACTTGTAAAAATTATTAAAATAATATTACTTCAAATTTTTGTTATTCAACTCATCCAAATAAATTGAAGTAAGTATTTTATATTTTATAATGTTAAGATTTAGTTTTAATTTTAGGTAATAAAATATTAAAGAAAATATAGATAAAATAAAATAATTTATTATATTAAAAATGACCAACCATTGGTAATTAAATCATTATAAAGCTACATTAAGGATGACATCTAAGTATTAATAATTTCACAAACATTGGTGATCAAAATATAAAAAATTATATAAATACTTGGATTTATTTGGATTAATTGAATGACAAATATTTTAAGTAATAATATTTTAGTAATTTTGATAATTGATTAACATTTATCTGTTTTTCAAATTTAAATAGTATAATTATAAAAAAAATGGTCACAGTTTAATTTCATGCAATAAAAGTATTCAATGTTTGTGATCAATATTAATAAATTTTACAAATGTTAGTGACAATAGAGGCCAAAATATTAATAAATTTTACAAATGTTAGTGATCAAAATATTAATAAATTTCATATTTTATAATGACAAGTTTCTAATGACAATAAATTTTTCTTATATATATATATTTTTTAATATTTTATTGGATGAAATTAAAATTATAAACTTTTATTGTAATTAGAATCTTGACATTATGAAATATTAAATACTTAATTGAATTTATTTAGATGAACTGAATCGCAAAAATTTGAAATATTGCTATTTTAGTAATTTTGACAATTGAATAATATTCATCATTTTTTAAATTTAAATAGTTTAATAAAATAAAATAAAGATTTTATAATTTAATTTTATGTAATAAAAAAATCAAATGATTATTTATGTTGTTTTTAAATAAAATTTAAAGACTTATTTATTAGTAATCAAATTATAAATTTTCAAAGATAAGTGATTAGAATAAAAAATTTTAAAAAATTAAGTGACTAAAATTTATTTATTTTTCAAAATTTGTAAAGGCCATTCCAGCAATACCATTTGGTATCTGACAATTAATGTGACATTACCATATCAATTAATGTGGCATTATCATGTCAGCACGTCATTACACAGTAACGATTAAGTGACAAAAAATACTTACTCAAATTTAAGTGATTAAATTAAAAAGCTTAATATTTTAGTGATTGTGGACATCAAATTTGTCTGGTCACAAAAAAAAAATAAAATTATTAAATATAATAATAAAAATTAAACAAAAATACAAAAAATATATAAA